TGAGAAAATGGGGGTTAAAATAGGAAACAGTACAACAAAATGGCCGTTTTACACTTTTTTCTAGTAAATTCCTCTCTATATATCCTATTCTCTATGTTTAAAGCTAAATTTTTACATTTTCTGATATCAAGCCTTTTTTTGTACTTAAAAATGTCAGCAGTTTTGTTTTGGTTTTTGAAATATGAAAAAAATTTTATGTTGATGAATACATGATTGTTAGAATTAGAATATTTTGAACATGAACTTTTGGACTTTTTAACAGATTTAAAATATTGGAATTTTCACAAATGATAGAATGTACTCATTCTAAATATACCTACAAAACAAAAAAATCAAAAAAAACCTGAAAAAGTAAGTTTTAGAATAATTTAAATCTTATGAATGTTATAATGTCTATGTATTGTAGTAGATCTTGTTTTTTTCGACAAATAAGTTCGCCACTGCCATATTTTCAACAATCAGTATTCTAGCATCAGACCGAGTTTTCTTTAAAACATCAAATATTTTCTTTATTTTCATACAAAATATACATTTTTTTGTATGTTTAAATACAAAATACTTTTGTTTTACAATGGTTTAAACTGCATAACAGCGGAAACTTTTTATTTGAAAGGACTCAGTTTTTCTCGTATAAACAGCTGTCTTGTCTCACATTCCTTAAATTACACATAGGCCTTCGAGATATCCAGATAGAATTTACCAAATTCGTCGGATTACAACGTATACGGTTTAGCTCTTTCTTAATTGATTTGTTCAGAATCCCTGGAGGAGAAGGACAAACACCTGAGGGAGGTGGAGACAGATGTTGCTGCTCTTTCCAGGAGGTAAATTTACGGGGGCACAATGGGGTTTTTTTTTGGGGGGGGGGCAGCAATATTGAGTTTACACCATGAACCTCTTATTTAAGTCAAATAAGGCTCGGTCGCTTTTGTAATTTTTTTGAGAGAAGCTTCTGAAGCATAGTAAGGTTGTGTTGGACATTTTGAAATCCTACGGAAAACTGATAATTTCCGTGAAAACTCTTAAAATGGATATTTTAAACACGAATCAGAGACAAAACTAATACTTTGGCACCCCCCACATCTTTATATATCTGTTATGATCTATTAATATATCTAGATTATCCTAAATCCGTTCTTGTAAAAAAGCTATTAATTATATGTTTTTCCCCCGAAATAGTGCACTCTAACAAAGACGACATTCTGAATATATTGCAGGTTTACAGGATCCATTCTCAAGGATAAATATATGAACGGGAAAAGTAATTATAAATTGATATCATTATAAATCTATGCAAGATACAATTGATACAATGTTTCTGATTGAAAAGATTATCAGAATATATTCATTTTGTCCATTCTCACCATGAAAAAGAAGACAAATGCATTTTAAGAGGTGTATTGTGACAAAAACTAGTCACCCCCCTGAACCCCTAAAATACCCCACCGTGGGGGGAGGGTACCCAAACCACTTAGTAGCATTATAAAACACAAAAAAAGTCAACTATCTATCCTAATTAACTCGTTAACACTTCTAGTCCACGTGGATAGCAAGTACAAATTCTGCGTCAGCTGTTTTTATACAAAGAGGCCTAGAACATTACATTGTGGTATTTGTGAGCATAGTAGGCATTTTTTCATTTGGATTTTGATGAAGAAGAAATGTATTAAAATGTATTGGATGCTTGTATTTCAAGCTGGGGACATTAATCTAACTAAAGTATGCTTCCTATTTTCAGTTGCTAACCCCGTATTAAATACCGTGCAGTATACAGATCTGCACATTGCAAATTCTAAATAAGTGCGAATTTTAAATCCTGAAAAGAATCGATAGTTAATTGCAGTACATTTGGGGAGAGTAGGGCAGGGTCTTGGATGTTTAGGCAAATTTAATTAAGAGGACGTAAGTGGTTAATATAATATAGATGCTAAATACATGTATTGTACTGCGGCTATTAAATACATGTACTATACTGCAGGTAAACATGTTAAATACGTGTACTGTATAATGCAGGTAGAGATATTTAATAATACATGCACTGCACTACCGGTATAGATACTAAATACATGTATTGTACTACTGCTATTAAATACATGCATTTACTACGGCTATTAAATACATGTACTGTACTGCAGGTAAAGATGTTTAATACGTGTACTGTATACTGCAGGTAGAGATGTTAAATACATGTACTGTATTGCACTTCGAGATGTTTAATACATGTACTGTACTGCAGGAAGAGATGTTTATTACATGTACTGTACTGCAGGTGGAACTAGAAGACGAGGATGGACGCAATCAGGAAAAAGATGCAGTCTCTCAAGGGAGAAACTGATTCCCTCTACGCTACCATTGGACGGTATGTACAAATACAAAAGTATTTAAAAGTGTACGGCAATATAAACAAATTCAGTGTTTGTAATGATGAATTTTGTTTTCTCATTTGTGTGTAAAATCTCCATGAATTAATCTAAATCTCACTTTCAATCCTCCTCGCTGTTTTCTCCCCAAAGCATACAAAGCATACAAAGCATACAAATCATACAAAGCATTCAAAGCGTACAAAGCATACAAAGCATACAAAGCATACAAAGCATACAAATCATACAAAGCATTCAAAGCGTACAAAGCATACAAAGCATACAAAGCATACAAAGCATAAAAAGCACTAACATAAAATCTGTATTTCAACAAACTTTTCTATTTAGGTTTGAGGATGCCACCAAAGCCTCAAATGCACAAGCTGATCAGGTATTTAAGTTAGGAATAGTAATAATAATAATAATAATAATAATTCCTATCAGACAGGTATATAGTCCTTCATAGTCTATACATAGTCCTATTAAACAGTATATAGTCCATACATGGTCCACAGAGTCCTATTAGACAGGTATATAGTCCATACATAGTACACAGAGTTCTTTTAGACAGGTATGTAGTCCTTACATAGTCTATTCATTGTCCAATTAGACAGGTATATATTCCTTCATAGTCTATACATAGTTCTATTAAACAGGTATATAGTCTTTACATAGTCTATTCATTGTCCAACTCCNGTGCAGTAGGAGTCAGGGGAAGAGGTGATTTGCATGCACAAATCCCATAGTTAATGGGTTCATCCCCTTTAAAAAGTAATTCGCGGTTACATTTAGAGGAATTGAAACCAATGAGGTTATTATTTGAGATGATACGAATTTATTATTTACAATTGCAAAACTTGCAGAACAACATCTTGTCCTAGTTTTTCAATCTATGTTTATCTAGGATAATGTGCACGAAGGAGGAGGTAAAGGGGTCCTATCTATTTAATCTATATCTATATATGACAATTGTTGATGGAGGAGGAGGTGGAGGAGTGCTATCTATTTAATCTATATTTATCTAGGATAATGTTGATGGAGGAGGAGGTGAAGAAGTCCGACGAGAATCTTGCAGGAACCATCACCAAGCTAGCCGTCACCAGCAAGGATGCAGATAACATATTAAAGAAGGCCCGTATCCCGTTTCTAGTTCCCTGTCTCCTGTCCTTATTCTCCTGTTTCCTGACCCTGGTTCCTGTTTCTTGTGTTCCGTCTCCTGTCTCCTGTCCCTATCTCCTGTCTCCAGTCCCTATATCCTGTCTCCAGTCCCTATCTCCTGTCTCCATTCCCTATCTCCTGTCTCCTGTCCATATCTCCTGTCTCCAGTTCCTATCTCCTGTCTCCATTCCCTATCTCTTGTCTCCTGCCTACTGTCTTCTGTTTCCAGTCTCTATACCCTGTCTCCTGTCTCCTGTCTCCTGTCTCCTGTCTCCTGTCTCCTGTCTCCTGTCTCCTGTCTTCTCTCCTGTCTCCTGTCTCCTGTCTCCTGTCTCCTGTCTCCTGTCTCCTGTCTCCTGTCTCCTGTCTCCTGTCTCCTGTCTCCTGTCTCCTGTCTCATGTCTCATGTCTCATGTCTCTTGTCTCCTGTCTCCTATCTCCTGTCTCCTGCATCCTGTATCCTTTCTCCTGTATCCTTTCCCTTGTCTCCAGTATCCTGTCTCCTGTCGATGTCCTCGATCCTTTGTCCCGTTCCCTGTCTCCTGTCTCCTGTCCTTATTCTCTTGAAAAATGACAGGAAGATATATCCCATCTCCTTAGAACATTTAAACAATTTCCATCAATTCCTGAGTGTAGAATTCAGAAAATTTAACAATTATCTTTGAAAACTTTCTCAAATTCAAGTTTTAGGTTTTAGGTTAAACATTTACTTTTCCTTAATTAGAACTAGTTATACTACACGCTCTAGTAATTAGAAGCATTTAGGGTATTCATGCTCTAACTGTTTACAATTAGGCAACATTAATATAATAATTATTATAAGTTTTAAAGGAAAGTTAATCAAATTCAAAGGTATTAATAATAATTTTTACATATTTAAAGTTAAATATTTATTGTTCTGCAAACATTTTTAACTTTAATACACATGACAAAATTCACATTGATCAGAAAAAACTCTCCTAAAGAGGTCTCTCCCTGCATGAAGGTTGAAGTTTACCCTCTTATGGTTGCAGGTGAAGGTGTTCGAGTCCAAGTGCATGAACAACGAGGTAACGATCGAGGAGTACGACAAAAATCTCAGATGTACAACCAAGATGGCCTCCGATAACGAACAGAAGTTGGACGAATTGAGCAGAAAACTCGGAGTACAGGAGGACGAACTCAGTAGAGCTACAGGTACAACCTTCCATATACACTATATATACAGGACCCATAACACTTTGGACTAGAAAAATAATTTCAGAAATCTGATCTGTGTATTTTATAGAGTTTTGAAGAAAATGGTTTTACCAGGAGATTGAAAATCAACTTCGTAATTGAAATGGTAATATGTGCACTTTACTATGCACAATAGCTCTGTTTCATGTTGATTGGACTATCTGAAATCATAAATTGAGCCTTCTTATTCAACATTTAATGGGTCTTAGTGTGGATTTTAGGTTTTGAATCTCTTTTATCTATGTAAAAAATTTCATAAATCATTTGGAATTTTTAGGGGACATTTCTTTTCTATGAGAGGGCCGTGATTTGGGCCAAAACAGTTCTGCCGATTTTTAGAGGACTATTCCTTCCAAAAACCTGACTGGACAAGTTTTAGCTGGCAAAAACTTTAGTCTTTATTGGGTAGTTTTCAATTGATAGCTCAGACTAATAATACAACTTCATTTGTTTGCATTTGCATGCAGCACACTTCAACACAAATATGGGATTTCTTTTGTTGGAACTAATCCCAACTACACCAAATTATGCCTTTACTGTAAATTCTGTATAAAATCTACTTGGAACGGGGTTTTCCTAAATTGACACCTGTTTTAGATAAAACTACGGAATTTTAATCATCAAGGAAAAAGTTTGAAAATCCTGGTATTCTCTCTGAAAATAAAACAAAACACAAATAAAGAACTTCACATGATACGAAGCGTGTCCAAGATATTGTTTACAAGGGGTTTGTAAATGTATTGTCAAAGAGGTTATCTCAGCGACTGCACAATACTAAACTATAGAATTATACAATGAGGCTCTTTCTTATTTAGTAGTCCGATTTACAATGGGACCCTTTAACTTGCCGTTTTCCATCTTGAAACATGATAAATTCAGAAAATTTCATTAATTGTATCAGCAGATAAAAAAATCCACAACCAACTTTAACAGAGATACGAGTACAACAATTAAAAATGTTGTCAGACGAAAAAAGTCACTTTTAATTACTTCTTAAGTCTCTTGTACACAAAAATACACCATGAACATACGTCCAGCATCGTAGAACTTCTGTAGAGTTCCTTTAAATTGATATTTGTGTATTTAGACCGTGCTGCGCTGGCTGAGAACAACCTGAAGAAGATTGAAGACGAGCTCCAGCTGGTCGGAGAGAACATGAAGCAGCTTGAACTGTCCGCGGAGAAGGCGGTGGAGAGAGAAGAGAAACTTAAGGATAAAATTCTTCAGATTCAGCATAAATACAAGGCAGCAGAGGGCAGGTTAATAATCATTTTCCTTAAAAGGAGTGTAAGCGTCAATTGTTTGTATAATAAGGTTGGTTACTCTCGATGCGCTCACGGCTCTATAATCAGTGACGTGATGACGTCATAATAGGTTTTTTCTATCAATCATAGGAGACGACATTTTCCGTACATTGGAGCGCATCGAGAGTAACCAACTTTATTCTACAACCTTGGTAAGCATCAAAACCTTAGTAAGCGTAAGTACAAGTAACCCTCCATGAAAAGATTGAAGTTAACGATTTACAAGGGTACCCTTGAAACCTTGATCGGTCATTTTCGCCCGCAAATGAAATAACAGTCTGTTTTCTCTTAATATATCATCGAATAAAACAATATATAAGCTTCCAATTGTCAGATTTGGTAAATATACAAAGTTACTAAAAAGTAAGTTTGTTGTCAGTACGTTTGTGCACGAAATTTAAACCCTGAATTTCTTTGTTATTTTGTAAATTCTAAACTTTTAAAATTGTAATTTAAATAACGTATCCAATGTCTGAATGTGACAAAGATTGCCTTTATTGCCCAACCTAATCCCCTTAAAAATACTAAACTTGTTTTAATAGAACCCTGCACCCGATATATCTGTTTAAGCAATAGTATAAACTCTCATGCAAAAATCTGCATTTTGTCAATTTCTTATTTTAAACCTAAACTAGAAATAAGCTAGCTGGAGTATAAAAATTTCATCTCTGTAGGACTAATAACTGAAATACTAAGCTAAAATAAGAGACCAAGGCGTTACGACAATTCAAAGTCAATTCAGTATTGATAATTAATCCACAACTTTCATAGCTGTTTAGATCTCTGTGCAAGGAATGTTAGAAATAATTTGTTTCAAGGATTCTTTATTCTCTTAAATGCAGAATTCTCTTAAATGATTATCTGAAGAAAATGTCAACTTGTACTTGTAAATCACAAAGCCATCTTTACTTTTGCAGAAAACTTTAAAGAAAATATATCGATTTAGATTCCTGGGATTCAGACTTAAGGGGTCCGTCGCGGAAATATGACTCAATTTTTCGTTTAAAGAGTTGCATTCCCGATTTACAACGTTACCCTTTAAATCTACGCGAAGCAAAAATGATAAAGATATCCTTGGTTTTTTATCTGAAAATTGATAATTTCAAGTTTTAACTTGTGGAGTTATCCAGCAGAAACAGTTTTCCAGATAGAATAACAACAATCTTCCTCATTGTGAAAATTCCTATAATTTCGAATAAACCGTAAAAAAATATTTCCAAAAGAGTTGTAATTTTCATTGTATCTATATTTTCATGGTATCTATATTATATGGTATCTATATTATATGGTATCTATATTTTCATGTCATGGTATCTATATTTTCATGGTATCTATATTTTCATGGTATCTACATTTTCATGGTATCTATATTTTCATGGTATCTATATTTTCATGGTATCTATATTTTCATGGTATCTATATTTTCATTGTATCTATCATTGTATCTATATTTTCATGGTATCTATATTTTCATGGTATCTATATTTTCATTGTATCTATATTTTCATGGTATCTATATTTTCATGGTATCTATATTTTCATGGTATCTATATTTTCATTGTATCTATATTTTCATGGTATCTATATTTTGTCAGACATGAAATATTTCAACTTTCAAAAGATGGAATGTTGTCTTATGGTTTAAAGCAATAAAATAACTCACAAAAGATGGAATGTTGTTTTATGGTTTAAAGTAATAAAATAACTCACAAAAGATGGAATGTTGTTTTATGGTTTAAAGTAATAAAATAACTCACAAAAGATTTGAATTATTTCGCAAGGTTACAAAAGAGTAAGCTGTGACAAAGGTTTATTTTGTTTTCAACAAATAAAAGCGACAATTTTTTGTTTTTGTCGTCCTCTGTAAAAACATTCAGGATTGTTTTATTAGATTTTATCATTTATTTCAAATTCCATCTGCACGAGGTGTATTTTACAAGAAAGATTTGTAATCTAGAACTGTGGAAAGATAATCAGGGTTAAAATCTGTATACAATATAGGTCGAGCTTAACAACTGTCTCAGGCAGTAAGTTAGGCATGCATGAAGGCATGAAGTATTGTCAAAGCATTGGAAACTTAAAGGGACTGTAAGCGTATTTCAATTGGTTCTTCATGCAAAGACGTGAATGCTTATTTGCAACGTTAACCTTTAAACCTTAGTCTTTGAGTTTAAAAGGTACTTGAGTGAATCGGACTTGCCAGTCTTCAAATGCCACTTGAATTAAAAAAATGCCTCTGCTAAAGATCTGAAATCTAAAATCTATATATATAAAACATATCACTTATGTATATGGTGGTTCAAAAGTATTAGCGGTTAAAAAAATATGATTTTGAGTAAATTATAATTGACGAATGAAAGCGTAAATATTGTATTCGTTTTTTCGTATTCCATCCCATTCGGGGGAAAATTGAATTAAAGGCCAGAGAGCAATTTCCAGGATAATAATATATTTTAAAACTTTTTTACATAGATTTTAAAATACCAAATCCATTAACATAATTATAGTATCAATGAGGTACCGTGATTGATAAAACATTTTTATATCAAAATGCAATATATACGCATTACGCATATCTCAAAACAAAAACAAAAAAATAGCGTTTAAACTTACATTTTTTTCTCTTTGTCGTCTTTCCTTTAATCTTTCCGTTTTTTTATGCTAAATAAAAGAATCAAATCAACAAAAATTTTGTGAAAAAGTTTTAGATCGGTTTTGGTCATTTTAGAAACAATTGAGAGAGAGGTTTGGAATAAAAAAGATTATTATTCTCATCATAAACATAGTTCAATGACCACAAATTAATATAATTAGCGTAATCTTTGCTCTTTCTTTTGATGAGAAATAAGGATTTTGTAATTTTTAACTGTTAAATTAAAAAAGGTTTCCTGCAAAGTTTTGCTCTGAAAAATCTTAAGAGTTTGTTTAATTCAAAGAAAGAAGAAGACGACAATAATTTCCGCTTTTTACATCTTCGTATTATTATTTTTTTAATTTGGAATCGTTGATTTACATTAATCTATTCCAGGTTTGAATACGGAGAGATGAACATCACCAAGCTGAACCAGAAGATCGACAACATTGAAGACGAGATCTACAGGGAGAAACTCAAGATCAAGAAGTGTGCGGATGAGCTTGGAGATACCTTTGATGACATGCTAACAAACTACTAATTCATGTCGTTGTTGACAAACTTCTGACTTCATGTCATTGTTAACAAAGTACTAATGTTATGTCGCAGTTCACAAAGGACTTATATCATGTCGTTGATGATAAACTAATGATTAATGTCGTCGTTAGAAAGTACTGATATCAAGTCGTTGATAGGAAACCACTGATTTCATGTCGTTTTTGACAAATACTGAATTCCTGTTGTTATTGAAAAACTGCTGATTTTATGTCGTTATTGACAAACTACTGATTTCATGTCGTTTTTGACAAACTTCTGCTTTCATGTCTTTGTTGACAAAACTACTGATTTCATGTCTTTGTTGACAAAACTACTGATTTCATGTCTTTGTTGACAAAACTACTGATTTCATGTCGTTCTTAAAACATCGAACATTTGTTAAACAATACGTTTAAATCATTTAACAAACCGAAACGTTCATGCAGTCTTTAGTGAACTGATTGAATTGCGTCCTATCCTATATTAAAATAATTTACATTATTTTCTACCATCTGTTATGTAATGTTTATTATTGCTAGCTGACTCACAATAACCAAATTCTTGAAACTATTTTTACATTGTAAATAAATTATTAGAAAATAAAAGCGAAAGTTCAAAAAAAAATTATAAAAAAAATCCTTCAGAAAAATGAAAACCTTCCATGATGATTTGACTATTCCTGGTTAGGTTAGGTTTCAGCCCCCTCTAGCTCCCCCCTCACTTGACTCCAGCATTATTATGATTGTGGACCATCTTTTATAAAATTTTGCCCATTAAGAAAAAGTGCTAAAATTTTTCTTTGGCACTTCGCACATCATTATGAGAGGAAAACAGGAATAAGCCCGTTACTGGCAAACAAGGACAGAGGACTTCGATTAGAAAGACTATAAACAAGGACAGAGGATATTTCGATCAGAAAGACTATAAGTATTATTGTTGTCGCAAAGGAACAAGATTCTGACGATGAACAGATAGACAAGGTATAATCCACGAATCAAAATCGATAATGCAGAAAACTCTTTATTTCCTAAAAAAATAACGAAATGAATAATGATAAATAATTATTACAGGGTTTACAAATTTATAATGAAAAGATTCTTACGATCTATTTTCCTATTCGTGAGACTATCTGATATGGATTATGGATAGACGAAAGAAAGTCAGTTACTGCCAGGAACTACTTGCTACTTAGGACTGCATAGACCTAAGATTAAGGGACTATAGTCTATATAGACTATATATATATATAGTGGACAAACATGACTAGTGGATGAATTACAAGAAGCTGATGTAGAAGGCTTTATATACATAGTGAATATGACTAACAGACACCAAGAAATACATGAAAAGACACGAGAAGGAGAGACATTTTTTGGCGCTTCGCGCACATGTTTAATTAATTTACTCATGTCGTTCCTTTTAAGGCTGTTGAAAGTATATTTTTTTAAACACAAGAACAAGCCATGAATATTATAAGAATTTGGTATATTATTAAAAGCACAGAGCCAACCCTTAAACAATTAAAAATGATGGGTTTTTTTTAACAGCCCTTTCATTAAAAAAATATTTCGTACCCCCCCCCCCAGCCCCTCAAAATCGAATTTGCCCCCCCTCAAAAAAATGCTAGTTGCGCCATTGCTGACTAGTCTTGTTATTTTATTGAAAGGCATAAAAAGACGACATTTATATATTTCAAGCTTTCTCTCTAGGTGACATCCAACGGTTTAATAGTAAAGTCTTCAAGTCAATTTCTTATCTTTTTGTTTTTTCATATTTTGAAACTAGTTTAAAAAAACTCCTACCTTTATCAATCTATCTATCCGGCTGCAGTCTGTAATAATGTGTTTTTATCTATTTATCTATTTAGCTATTTACGGGGTTTCCCAAACAGAAAAGGTCTTCAATGACGACTGAAATTTTTTTTATTAGTAACCTTTCATTTAGTTATCTAAACTATATATTATATTTTGAGTATTATAAATATGGAAATATATAAAAAAAATTCTATCTTCAGTGGTTTCACGTCAATACTTACTTTTCATTTATTGGTACTCCTTGTATCTATTTATGTGCGTGCCTACATATCTATGTATGTATCTATCTATCTGTACTTGTCTGGCATGTTTTATCTCTAAAGGTAGCATGTTTAAAAACTCCTCAGTTTCCACCTGTATTTCAGGTATAGAACATTTTCACTTTTTTCTCAGAACCAACGAGCTGCAGGTCAAAGTCGTAACATGTTGCCAGAAAAAAATGTTAAAATTTATATTTTTTTAATGAACCAGTTTAAACAGAAAAATCCACGAAAATTTGAGTTTACAATTACAAAGAAAAAAGTCAACTTGAGAAGCAACATTTAAAAAAATTTTAAAAAAAACGGTAAAAGCGTTGCTAAAAAAGGGTGCTTGCAGGGAGCACCTTACAAGCCTAGTTTTTTAAACTAATAAATTAAATCTTAAAATATTAGAAGACCGAGTGAGCCAAGGATATATTTATTCTTTAAGTTTTAAGGTTAAGTGTTTATTTTTTCTGATCGTTATTTTGTCTATACGTTATTGTAACGTTCGCATTCCTTTATAATCCCGTTTTTACCAATTGAATAAGAATTTTTTATTTTTTTTTTGCTATATAATTAGTCAAGTATATTCAATTATTCAAGAAAATGCCACACAATTCATATGATAAAAAGATGTGTAAAATTGGATAATTGTTTTTACTCTCATTATTTACTATTTGTAACCAATTCCAATATATATAGGGTGAGTCAAAAAAGTTTGATTTGCGTCGTCTTCTTCATAAAAAATTTTTTTCATGAAATTTTCATTTTTGGTATTTTTGCAATATTTTGGAATATTCTCTTTATTTGTTTGAAACTCGCATGTTACCACTAAAAAATCCGCGAACCTTTTTTACAGTCAAAATTGAAAGTGAAAAAAAAACAAAAGTGTGACAATAGATAATTGCTATCCAATCCTAAAATTTCATAAAGTTCGGTCTGACTAATTGAGAGATATATTCATAAGAATCCCCAACATTTTAATAAGATATATCTGATTTAGTGTTCAGTTAATCATAAAACAGCAGATAACTGTTGCACATTAATTAAAATGTCCTCTATTCTTTTGATGAAATTTCACCGCACTAATTCTAAGATCTATTTATAGACGGCCTTGCTTGGACACTGGACAGGTACACTAGAACTAAATTGAGAATTTTCCTGATACGATTTTGCGAATTTTCTCCATTTCCATAAGTCAGATTTTTATGAAAGTTTAGGATTTAGATAGAAATTATACATTAAAACATTTTTTATTTTCTTCACTTTTGATTTTAAGAAGAAAAAAGGTTCGCGGATTTTTGTTGTAGTACCATGTGAGTAATAAAAAAATTAAAACAATGTTCCAAAATATTGCAAAAATTCCATGCATAATAATTTGATAAAGACTACTTTAATCACACTTTTTTTACTCACCCTGTCCCTGTATATATATATATAGGCGATTTTTGTGTGCATAGTGTGTTAATAAATGCGTTTATAATTTCGGTCAATTCAAATGACGCATGAAGCACAATTCTGCGTAAATGTCTGGTCTACGCAATGATAGTTAAAGAAAGAGAAGGACAAGAACATCTTGCAGAAATAGAATATTAACAAAGTGTCTGTACCAAACTCTTAACTAAAGTAAATCTTATTTTATATTGAATTCTTTTTCTGAATAGCCAGCTTAATTGCTAAGAAAGAATTTTGAAATTTTTGATTACACGCAACCAAACAAATTTGTTCTGTTTACTTCTCGATTTAAGTGAAAATTAAGAGTTAATAGGTCGCAAAGTTGAACCAGTAATTTTGTGTTACCGTTTTTTTATCGATGGAAATAATTTTTAAGAAATAACAATTAAGGAATGGAAAAGTGAACCATATTAATTTAGGAAAACCAATTTTATATTTTTAGGATGAAATTCAAAGTAAGAGCAGATCTGGACCTGGCACAGAGGTGCCTTCTGGTGGTCATAATCTCAATTACTCTCTCCTATATAATTAGGTGATAATTAATTGTACAGTACATTTTGGGTGGGAACCCCCGCCCGCCATGAGCCTACGCTATGCGGACATTAGCCTCCCAGATTTGCTTTCAGTATGAGTCTTTGCCATGCAGATTGCAGACAGAGCCTCTGCTATACAAAAAGCCGCCACTATACAGAAACAGATTTCTTAAAATTCCCGAAGCTCGTGGAGTTGTACTGCATAGCAAATCTGAGAGGCTCGTGTCTGCATGGCGGAGGCTCATGGCAGCCGAGGGAGGGAACTCCTGGACGTCATGAGCCTCCGCTTTGTAAACACAAGCCTCTCAGATTTGTTAGGCAGACCGAGCCTCCTCTATGCAGACCGTGCCTCTGTTATGCAGTAAACGAGCCTCCACCATACAGCACAACTTTTTTAAATCTTGGTTTTTATGTGAAATAAAAATCTTTAACAATTTTTTTTTGACATAGTGGCATAAGAATTTTACTAAATATTAGAGTTATTTATTGATTGTCATGATTAGAAACATATATGAACTCGTAAAGTGGTTTACAAGATTTATACTAAAACTGTAAACATTTCATTTGCAGAAAGGAAGATATTTGGAGAAATATTTCTGGAATAAACTTAGTTTTTTTTGTTGTAATCTTTGATTTAATCAATACTATTATTTTAAAAAATGTCAAGATTTAAATAAATGATACAAATTTTCTAGATTTAATTTGAACTACAAAAAACATATCGCTTAAATCAAAGATTATAAAAGCTGAAATGAAATTCAATTCAAATTTGTTTTCTCTAAATATTTTCCTTTTTGTGTAAAAAATGTTTAAAGTTTTATATACACTTTATAAGTCATAATTACACATTATTCATGATAATTGATCAATATTTTTCATCTTTGAGAAACCTCTCATACCACTATGTCGAACAATTTGTTAAAAAATCTTTTATTTAACCTTAAAACACAAGTTTTAAAAACCTCCTGTATTACACAGGCACATTTTGATGTATTGCGCATGCTCATTACTGCATAGCTGAGGCTTGATCTGCCTAACAAATCTGGGAGGCTCGTGTCTGCATAGCAGAGGATCATGGCGTCCACGTACAGTACAGTACAGTACAGTGCAGTACAGAGGTGTCTCCTGATGGTCATAACCTCGAAGTATCATATCTGTTTTTTTACTATTTCTACTAACGTTAAAATTATCATTATTAAAACTAATGTTATTTCGATTATTTTTAGGATTGTTTTAGTTATTATTATACCATGTAATATTTCTTTTTTAGTTTTCTTCTGTTGAGTCAGTACTTATTATGTCAGCTTTTCCTAACTCTTGGATTAGGTAAATATAATGTTTTGTTTTATAAATATAATAATAATTGAAAGTTAGAATTTTTTTAAAGAATTTTAATCTTTGCTTGCTTTAACTGACATTTAAAGAAGTTGATTTTTTGCAAAGATGTGTACTTTTATTATTGAACATTCAATGAACAAGTCCAAGGGTTAACAAGTTTTCTGAGAATTCAAATTTTTGTTAGTTTAATCAAGCCCATACAATATTTTTTTAACATTTTATAAGGTTTATTTTTTATTTTAGGGTTTGCTATATTGCAGTCCTCAGTTCAACTGGAAGCAGAGGATAAAACTGTTCTTATTACAGGTACACTGACACACTGTACACTTCATATTTTACACTGTACACTTTATACTGTACATTTACACTTTATACTGTACATTTTACACTTTTTACTGTACACTGTACACTTAATCTGTATACTGTACACTGTAAATTGTACACTGTAAATTGTACACTGTACATTGTACACTGTACAATGTACACTGTACACTGTTCACTTTTACTCTACACTGTACAATTTATACTGTGCACTGGAAACTTTAAACTGTACATTGTACACTATACACTTTACACTGAACACAATACACAATATACTGTACAATGTACAGTTAAACTAGGGGGCTGTACAGCGCTGAGTGACAAACGTTACGTTACAAATTGATTTTTAATCTTCAAAACGGTTTATCGTATTTTTTTTTACATAGCTGTCCTATTTAGTGTTGATTATTTAAAAGAATCGAAATTCTAAGTTTACAATATTTTATAAAAGTTAAATCGTAATAATGTCTAACAATGTTTGAAAGTATGATTTTTAGGATGTGATACTGGATTTGGTTTGGTTTTAGCCAAACATCTTCACTCCCTGGGCTTTACAGTGTTTGCTGGATGTTTGCTTGCAGACAGGTTGTTATAGAATTCATTCGCTTTTTACAATACTTTACGACATATGCTTTAAATTGAAGTTAAGAGGAGGAGAGCCATGATAGTCCCACTCTTCATACGCCCCTGTGCATTAGTGAAGGGAGCCATGGTAGTCCCACTCTTCATACGCCCCTGTGCATTGGTGAAGGGAGCCATGTTAGTCCCACTCTTCATACGCCCCTGTGCATTGGTGAAGGGAGCCATGGTAGTCCCACTCTTCATACGCCCCTGTGCATTGGTGAAGGGAGCCATGATAGTCCCACTCTTCATACGCCCCTGTGCATTGGTGAAGGGAGCCATGATAGTCCCACTCTTCATACGCCCTTGTGCATTGGTGAAGGGAGCCATGTTAGTCCCACTCTCCATACGCCCCTGTGCATTGGTGAAGAGAGCCATGATAGTCCCACTCTTCATACGCCCCTGTGCATTGGTGAAGGGAGCCATGATAGTCCCAATCTTCAAACGCCCCTGAGCATTGGTAAAGAGAGCCATGATAGTCCCACTCTTCATACGCCCCTGTGCATTAGTGAAGGGATCCATGTTAGTCCCACTCTTCATACGCCCCTGTGCATTGGTGAAGGAAGCCATGGTAGTCCCACTCTTCATACGCCCCTGTGCATTAGTGAAGGAAGCCATGTTAGTCCCACTCTTCATACGCCCTGTGCATTGGTGAAGGGAGCCATGGTAGTCCCACTCTTCATACGCCCCTGTGCATTAGTGAAGGGAGCCATTTTAGTCCTACTTTTCATACGCCCCATGTGCATTGGTGAAGAGAGCTATGATAGTCCCACGAGTCCCACTCTTCATACCCCCTGTGCATTGGTGAAGGGAGTCATGATAGTCCCAATCTTCAAACGCCCCTGAGCATTGGTGAACTGAGCCATGTTAGTCCCTATCTTCAAACGCCCCTGAGCATTGGTGAAGGGAGCCATGTTAGTCCCACTCTTCATACGCCCCTGAGCATTGGTGAAGAGAGCCATGGTAGTCCCACTCTTCATACGCCCCTGTGCATTGGTGAAGGGAACATGCATGGTAGTCCTACTCTTCATACGCCCTGTGCATTGGTGAAGGGAACTATGGTAGTCCCACTCTTCATCCGCCCCTGTGCATTGGTGAAGGGAACATGCATGGTAGTCCAACTCTTCATACGCCCCTGTGCATTGGTGAAGGGAACATGCATGGTAGTTCTACTCTTCGTACGCCCCTGTGCATTGGTGAAGGGAACATGCATGGTAGTTCTACTCTTCGTACGCCCCTGTGCATTGGTGAAGGGAACATGCATGGTAGTCCCACTCTTCATACGCCCCTGTGCATTGGTGAAGGGAACATGCATGATAGTCCCACTCTTCATACGCCCCTGTGCATTGGTGAAGGGAACATGCATGGTAGTTCTACTCTTCGTACGCCCCTGTGCATTGGTGAAGGGAACATGCATGGTAGTCCTACTCTTCGTACGCCCCTGTGCATTGATCTCACAAGAAGCCGAAGGGAATGATTCTTTTAGTTGTCCAGAGGCTTGGTACTTCAAATGTACCATAGATTTTAAGTATTTATTGAAGATTAATATACATTGAACATGTTTGTTCCACCAATCTCTTGCTTCTCTTGCTCAAAATAGAATATTATGAAAACTGTTTTAAAACATTCTAAAAGTAACTGGAATATAAAAAAAAACTTTAAACATGTTTATTTTAGATTGTTTTTGTATAAATATAACATCTATTGCAACAATTTTGTACAAAAGAGAAAGAAAAAAATTTCAAAACAAATCTTTATATTTTAAAAAGAACATTTTTTCTTTTTTTTTTTGCAAAAAGTATAGATTGTTATTTTTCGAAAATCAATTTTCTTTTTAGGGATGGTATGGGAGCAGCTGAGCTGAGACAAACTGGTTCTAAAAAGATGCACGTGCTTCAGCTTGATGTAACCAATCAGGAAGACTGGTCTAAGGTCAAGCAGTACATAGAGAAAAACATTCCTACCACGGCCAACGGTAATATTTTTTTGGTAAACTTTACGGCATTAACAAATTTTCCGCATTAAAAGCGGTTTTGATTGTGTTTATACCAGAATTTCTTAGTCATATTTAAAAAAGCTAAGTTTTAAAGGGTACATATTCCCAGGCTCCCAGCAAACAGAACTCGGGTTAAAGTTAAGTTTAACTCCACTTAAAAAGTTCACTCATCAACTGGATGAAATCTGGTGGCAAAAACTTGACTGAAACACGATTTTTTAAGTCACAGTTTGTAACTTGGTTCAAAAGTCAGTGCACTACTTTACTCCTCCTCACAACTAGTTGTTCCATCCAGTTCTGTTTGGTGGGCTGTGGATAGGGTTTCCATCGAAAAGGAATAATCGTTTTTCGAAAAAATTTTGCATTTCGTTCGCATTCGAAAAATGCAAATATTTTTGTTATTTTCGCTTTAATATGTTTTGCGAATAAATGCGAAATTTTCGCAAAAAACAAATGCAAAAAATTCACGGGAAATAAATACGAAAATTTTTAGACAAAAATTCTCGTCATCAAAATTCTCTTAATCAAACATTTATAAAAGTAAAGGAAGAGAAATTGTTAATTATGCTACAGGGTGTCCCAATAAACATGGGGATTCAGTGACGAATTCGATATTGTCTTTTAAAATAATTCTTTGATTTAGTATAGTGATACCTACTGAGAGAGTTGTAATCCATAAGATTTAGTATAGTGATACCTACTGAGAAAGTTGTAATCCATAAGATTTTCGTCTGCTATGTTTACATTTGTTTGTTCATGTTTTGACTGCATGCGGTCGTACTTAGTTAAACTTAAGAAAATTACAGTATACAAACAGAGTAAACTTGGCCGTCTTCACTGTTTATCTTGCATTATTTTGCATCAGACATTAAAGACACATCTTATGCAGCCATTTACCGCTTTCAATAAATAAACGCTAGCAGCCATAATAATATTATTGCTTTAGAAATTAGGTATTACAATGCTAATTCATAACAAAGACGATTTCGAATTCATCACTAAATTCCCATGTTTATTTGGAAATCCTGTAGTATTATAAAACTTATAAAACTTCTAATGCTGAGCTCTCAGAGAGCAGAAAATTCTACAAGTTTTTTTTTGTGGAATTTATGGTTGCAGCTACAACAGTTATGGTTTGCGCGGAATTTTTTTTTGCAAAATTATTTTTCGCATTTTTTTCGCGAACTTATTTTTCGCGAAAATTATGTTTGCGAAATACGAACGAAAAAAGTATAAAACCCATTGATAGATTTTAAGACGACATTCTATAAATTCTTTTGATGTTTCCAAAGTTCTGGGTTAAACTGTATGCTATGCTCTTTCAGGATTATGGGGTTTAGTGAACAATGCAGGGTGGGCAACCTTTGGTGAGGTTGAGTGGGTGAGCATGGAGAACTACAAGAAGGCGATGGATGTCAATCTAAACGGTGCAATCTTAGGTCAGTTTTCTCAACACAATTCACAATAGCTTCAATCGTTGCATGATCCGAGCCGGTACAACATTCACTGTACATTCATGCAATTTTCAAAACTGGACCGACGTTAAAGAGGGGCAGCACCTTGGCTTTGATTTTACTTGTCTAATTTGCACTAATATCTTTTTGTAGCCATTTTTTGTACATTTTTAAACTAAAAAGCACTTGTTTTTAACTTTAGCGTTCAAGAAGTAATTGTCGAAATTATCATTAGGATGAATTTTTATAAAAATTCAAACCCGCTTGAGAACCCATCTTTGCGCGCCTGGAAACTAAGTTTTCTCTATAAAAGCCAAACTACTTAACTTAGATCTTTTAAACCAAACTAAGAACATTCCCGTGGTTCTTCCGAGTTCCCAATTTCAATCTTTGGCAAACCGGTCAAGGGGTTGAAGAATTATGATCGGACATCCAAACAAACAAACAAGCATGGAGATTACTAGTTTTTAAACAAAGATACTTAAACTATAACAAATATTTAGGAATAAAGACGATGCTACCTCTGATAAGGCAGGCTAAAGGAAGAATTGTAACTATTACAAGCGGATTAGGTAGGAATGTAAAATAGTATATTTGAAGAATTTGAAAAGAATTTCGGAAAAAAAGAAAAAAATTAGTTTATCTTTATGTTTGATTATCGAAAATAACCTAAGACAGCTAGAAATACCAAATAATTTAGAATTATAAACATTTAGCGTGAATGGGATTAGCGGTTTTAAGCCTCAATTTTCTTTTTAAATGACTCTAAAAAGTGCTGTAATATATTTAGTTTAATTCTAGAAGTGGTTTTTGTAACATATTTTGTCATTGATGCTTTTTTGGGCGTAAACCTCTCTGTTTACTTTAAACAATTGATAATTTTTATTATTCTTTTAAAATCTACATTACAGTGAGAGAAAAAAACATTTGCATAGAAATTAAAATAATGTTCATATTTCAAATTATTTCTAAAAGAGTCCCTAATTTGATGTCATGCAAAAAAATCGTCTATTTCTACAGTTTGCAAACATGGGACCAGGAATGCTGCAACCTCTTTTATAGGTTTCTCTTCATAGAGTTCTGGGTTAAGGACTGTGTTATATTTTCATCTTTTTTTCAGGTAGATTTGCTGTACCTACCAGGTCTCCTTATGTAGCATCAAAATACGCCCTCGAAGGCTTCCTGGGTAAGAATACTGGTTGTTATCACGTTGATCATTTTGGTGATTGTCCGAGGAAGCTTTCACTTTCGATCCCAATTTAACCAAATTAACATAAAAAAAATTGAGTCTTTGTCTCAAATGTTGTAGACATAGACTAAACATACACAAACTGCTCTGAAGGTCTATCTGGATAGACTAAGCAGGCATATGTTGTCCCAGTACGCCATGCTACATTTCCATGAAAGGTTTTTGAACGCAATATAACGGCCAGTTGTTGCATATAATACCCATTCTGGGGTTAAGTTTTACAATTTTTAAAGAAATACTCTAAATTTTAATGTAAAACATAAAATTTATGAATTCAGTCTGTTTTTGAAGGTTTTGTATTTCGTATCCAAAGGATCCTAAATATCTCTGAATACAGACTTCTGTTTATTGGTCGTGTACTCCAGTTGTACACAATGGAACCTGTCGTGGAAAATATCACATTTTCTATCCTTTAATAGATCTCTGTATTCTCTTATCTCTGGTTGAAGTCGTTGAAGGCCCTAGATATTTCAATCTATAAATTCTGTTCGATTTAATAATCTAAATTTAATATATCCTTAAAAAAATTTGTGAACAATTCCCTTAAAACAGTAAAATTAGATTTTAATTATAGACTGTCTCCGGTATGAGATGACAAGTTTTGGCGTCTCTGTTTCTCTGCTGGAACCTGGAAACTTTATCGCCGGAACGAACATTTTTAACGAAAAGTTCGTTAAATCTCAGGCAGAGGAGATGTGGGCGAATATGAATCCTGAGGTTAAAATTGCATATGGTAGAGAACATTTTGATAAAAAGGTAAAATTTTAAATAATTTGTACAAAGGTCAAAACTTTTGGGTGAATGAACGCTTATCTACATCTCAATATATATATATATATATTAATTTTAGTTTTTTTTTGTCGGCACGACCACTACGGGATATAGAAATACAGAGACGAAAATCTTATTGATCTAGGGGTTTACAACACAAAGTTTTTACCTTTGATATAACACCTCACTCTCCATAGAACAAGAGAGGGGTGGCTGCTCTCAGGGTTTTGGAATTGCTCTTAGGGTTTTGGAGTGCTGCTCCCAGGGTTTTGGAGTAAAATGTAAAAATTTATCCGACCTTTTATGAAAAGTCCTTTAAAAAGGGTATTTTAAGTAATAAAGATGTTGAGATGTATTATAAGACCAGCTCAAATGAAACCTTCTTGTATCTAGCTAAAAAATGATAATCTAAAACAAATGTCGTCAGTTTGGCTAATCAAAACTATATGATCGCCACATCCTACTTGAACTGAAATTTGCGATTTTTCCTTGCATATATCTGAAGAAAGACAGTAAAAAAGGGGTAGCAGAGCCCTTTTTTCAATGTTCGGTTTTAAAGCACCCTTTTTAAAGGACTTTTCATAAAAGATCGAATAAATTTTGACATTTTACTCCAAAACCCCAGAAGCAATTCCAAAACCCTAAAAGCAGCACCCCTCGCTACTTTATTTTCGGTCAGTGTAGAGTTGATTACTGTAGTTACGAATCGAAAGCTTAATTGCGGGTGAGCTAATACAGATAATACAGATAATACAGATAATACAATACATATAATAAAGATAATACGGATAATACAATACATATAATAAAGATAATACGGATAAACAATACATATAATAAAGATAATACGGATAATACGGATAATACAATACATATAATAAAGATAATACGGATAATAATACATATGATAAAGATAATACGGATAAAACAATACACAAAATAAAGATGATATAGATAATACAGATAATACCAGATAACACAGGTTATAAAGATAATATTTATAACACAGATAATACAGAAAATACAAGATAATACAGATATTACAGATAATAAAGATTGTACAGGATAATACATACATATATTACAGATAATAGAGAAAAAACAGATTATACAGATAATATGAGATATGTACAGGTAAAACAGGTAATATAGATAATTAACAGAATAGACATAATACAGATTATACAGATCTTACAGATTAAACAGATAATAATACATATAATACATAGAGTACAGATACAAAAAAGATACAAATGCAAATACAGATCAGAAACATATACAGAAACAGAAACAGATACAGATACAGATACAGATACAGATACAGATACAGATACAGAAACAGATACAGATACAGATAAAAGTGTGTGTACAGGTTGATGTAATGAACTCGTATATGCTGAATGGGTGTACAGATATCAGTCCTGTAATTGACAGCTATACAGACGCACTTCTAGATGTCTTTCCTCAGGTTATAAACATAAATAAAAAATATTATATTTTTTTGATAAAATAAGAATAAACATATTCAATAGTTCGATCTAACACAAAAATGGGTTAAAACCATATAGGATCTATTAACAATGAGATATTCTGTATTTCTTTTGTGGCTTTCAAAAGAGAACATTCTTTTAAATAACGGTAATTCGTAATATTATTTGTGAATAATTTTAACTTTCATGTAATTACTGAGAAATAATAGCGACACAAATAATTTTAAGTTTGAATAATCTAAAAATTTATTTTTATCATTATTTTTAATTTTTATCAGATATCAAGACCTTTTTTTAGGTAACATAAACGTTTGATAAAAATTATGTTTACATATCTTTGAAACTGTTTGTAATGAATTTATGATATTTTCCATAACATTCCATTGATGGAAAAAAGTAAAAAATAATCATTTTTATAAAATTATTATTTTAGGTTCGTTACCAACCCATGGATCTGTACTTCAAGACTAGATGTTTCATTGCAACACATTTTCCAGAAAGAATTTATCAGATCCTGTACCTTTAAACTGTTTATTAGGAGCAGATTTTGTATAAACTGTTTTTATCAGATTATCTTTCTATAAAATGTTATTTTTTATCGGAATATGTTATTTTACTGGTTTTGTTATCGGATTTCGTATCTGTAAACCGGTGTTTGTTATCAGATTTCGTATCTTTTAACTGGTGTTTGTTATCAGAGTATGTATTGTTAAACCGTAGGTCTAATTAAATGATACATGGTGGGGGTTGAAAAATGTTTATTGGTAAAAACTTGTTACGGAATATATAGGAGCGTTTTTACTTTCTGTGGGGGGATTTAGGGAGCTTCTCAACTGCTGGAATTGATGAGTCTTCAGAACAGGGAGCAGTCTCGAGCAGAACCGTAGAATGCTGCTTCTGTAGGGAACTGCTTTAAGCTGTAGGTGTAGATGAACCTTTAGAGCTGTCTGGAGCAGAACTGTAGAATGCTGTTTCTGTAGGAAACTGCTTTAAGCTGTAGGTGAAGATGAACCTTTAGAGCTGTCTGGAGCAGAACCATAGAAGGCTGCTTCTGAAGGGAGCTGCTAGAAGCTGCAGGTGTAGACGAACTTTCTGGTTCGGGACTTGGTCCGAAAATGAATACTCTATTCTGATTTTAGAATATCAATAAAATCCCCTTTTGATGGTACAGAGCTGGTTTAGAACTCCGGAGCTGTTCAAGTATTAGCTACAACTGATAATATCATCTTTCAAAGATTTCAACGTTAGGTTTAAGGCGTAACCTTAACCTAGAGTCTATACTTAAAAATACACAGTGCTCACAGGATGTTCACAAAAAATACAAACATATAAATACATTTTAACTATTCATAAAAGCACAAATATCAATTCTTAAAGAATCTGTTACATTCGTTTGTGAATTTTACAAAAAAGGAGTTTTAGTTTATGTAAACACCCAGCAGAGTTCCCATATACAGAAATAATTGATTCCAACCATGATTTGACATTCTTTGTTAAAAATATGCACTTTGAACTCTGTTACAGTATCTGTAAAATGGTTTTGTTATCAGATTTCGTATCTGTAAACTGGTGTTTGTTATCAGATTATGTATCTGTAAACTGGTGTTTGTTATCAGATTATGTATCTGTACACTGGTGTTTGTTATCAGATTTCTTATCTGTAAACTGGTGTTTGTTATCAGATTATGAATCTGTAAACTGGTGTTTGTTATCAGATTATGTATCTGTAAACTGGTGTTTGTTATCAGATTATGTATCTGTACACTGGTGTTTGTTATCAGATTTCTGTATCTGTAAACTGGTGTTTGTTATCAGATTATGTATCTGTAAACTGGTGTTTTTTATCAGATTATGTATCTGTAAACTGGTTTTGTTATCAGATTTCTTATCTGTAAACTGGTGTTTGTTATCAGATTTTGTATCTGCAAACCGGTGTTTGTTATCAGAATATGTATCTGTAAACTGGTTTTGTTATAAGATTTCGTATCTGTAAACTGGTGTTTGTTATCAGATTATGTATCCGTAAACTGGTGTTTGTTTTCAGATTATGTATCTGTAAACTGGTTTTGTTATCAGATTATGTATCTGTAAATTGGTGTTTGTTATCAGATTATGTATCTGTAAACTGGTTTTGTTATCAGATTTCGTATCTGTTAACTGGTGTTTGTTATCAGATTATGTATCTGTAAACTGGTGTTTGTTATCAGATTATGTATCTGTAAACTGGTGTTTGTTATCAGATTTCGTATCTGTAAACTGGTGTTTGTTATCAGATTTTGTATCTGTGAACTGGTGTTTGTTATAAGATTTCGTATCTGTAAACTGGTGTTTGTTATAAGATTTTGTATCTATGAACTGGTGTTTGTTATCAGATTATGTATCTGTAAACTGGTTTTGTTTTAAGATTTCGTATCTGTAAACTGGTGTTTGTTATCAGATTTTGTATCTGTAAACTGGTGTTTGTTATCAGATTATGTATCTGTAAACTGGTGTTTGTTATCAGATTTCGTATTTGTAAACTGGTTTTTTTATATCTGTAAACTGGTGTTTGTTATCAGATTATGTATCTGTAAACTGGTGTTTGTTATCAGATTTCGTATTTGTAAACTGGTTTTTTTATTAGATTTCGTATCTGTAAACTGGTATTTGTTATCAGATTATGTATCTGTAAACTGGTTTTGTTATCAGATTTCTTATCTGTAAATTGGTGTTTGTTATCAGATTTTGTATCTATAAACCAGTTTTGTTATCAGATTTTGTATCTATAATTTATCAGATTTTGTTTATGTAAACTGATTATTGTTATAAGATTTTGTTTTTATAAACTTTTCTATTATCAGATATTATTTCTATAAAATGTTATTTTACATTTAAATAAAGTTTGTTAGATAACAAGAACTAACGAAGACTAAGTATTTCAAGAAAAAAATATCTTAGATTTCTGTGATTAATAAAGAATAACAAATTGTTAAGTATATTTTTTTCCGGTTAAATTGAACGAATAGAAAAAATACAGAATTTTTAACATAAATAATTAAATTACTCAAATGTTTTATACAAATAAAAATCAAATTCAATGAATTTTCTCTATTTTACATAAGTTTAAAGGTAACAAACACAAATGATTTTTTCTGCTACAGTAACACCCTTAATAACGAATACATCGAAAGAATTCATCAAATGTCGTATTCTTCACTTTCTGCTAATGGAATGTTGCAGATATTTAGTTTTTTAATTAAATGATTATATGGAACTCTTTTTAATTGTTCCCGCAAATTCATAGCTATTGTAACTTCCATGTTTAGAATGGCATGACTAATTCACAACGGTGCACGTTAAACTTTCGTCGAATGAGATAATCTTCATATTTAAGAAAGTTTTATTATTTTCAATTGGGGTTTCTAAAAAAGCGGCTCACGGAATCATGCCCAGCAGAGGCGTATTCAGGGGGGGGCTATGGGGGCTAAGCCCCCCCTGGACCAGTGAAATCTATTGATTTCAGGGGTTTTCAAGCCCCAACGGGTGCTGAGCCCCCCCTGGAAAGAGAAAAAAATTTAAGCCCCCCCTGGACAAATTCCTGAAAACGCCCCTGATGCCCAGACAGAATGAAGGAAATTGTCAGAATTCTACATGGTTTCAAATAGAAAAGTAAGGCAAATTATGTAAATGCAATTTTGAATATACAGAGGATACAGAGTTACCCAAAGCTCGAGAATGCAGACTTGGATAAAATATAAAAATCTAATTTTATTTAATTTGGTTTTTGTTGACAATAAAATTCAAACAATCATTTTAACATTAATATTTTAATGTTTGTTTACATCATCATCAGTCTTAAAGATTTGGATGCCATAGTTTAAAACTTTCTACACATTTATTCATTTACATATGATATTTCATTCCATAATTCACAAAAAAAAATTTAGATTCTTAAAACGATTTGTAAAATTGTCTTTCAAGAATCATGAAACTAAACTGACATTTTTTAAAATAAAGAAAAATAAAACGTAGGCAGGGGCGTACAAGAGCATTTGTGTAGGGGGTGGGGGGACATTTTGCGAGGGATGAAAAATATAGATGGAAACGTTTCTAAAAAAAATATCTATATTTTCATAGGATTGATATACATACTGTTTAATAAATTATGATATCAAATATATATTTACACTGAAGGCAGTATTGATTAAAGCTTTTTTGATGAAACTTTTTTAGTTAAGGGCAAAAGTGAGATTTTAAAGTATTTTTTTTCTATACGATGTCATTATACTTGAATGGAATACATGTTCCTTGAACCTTCATTTTTCCATCGTTTTTGAAGCAAGAAAAGTCACTTTTGTAGAGAAACCACAAATAACAATTTTCAGTTTTCAAAATGGGAAATGGGAAACATGGATATTTAATACAATACTTGATCAGACAACGCATTGAATCAGAATATATTTCTTTTCTTAATCTTTTGGGTGAGTGTAATGCAATTCAATGTAGAATGTAGATTGCCTGAGGAAGGGAAATGCAACCAGATGTAATATTTAAAGAGCCCCCCTCCCATGAGTTCCCCTCTCATGGAAGGCGCGCGTAAGGGGGGGACCAGGGGGCTCGGCCCCCCCTACGCCCCTGAACGTAGGACGTTATTTCCAGTGACATTTTGTCCTATGGACTTAAGAAAATTGGGTCTTTTTTACCGAAGTTTAATTACAGGGTGTCCCACGAAACATGACAATTAATAAATCGTTAATTTCATTCAAAAAAATCTTTTGCTTCTTTTATATATTTTACGTTGAAATCAAGTTTAATATAACATATGACTCCCATATAATATTTTTATTGATCTTTGATATCAAACAACTTAACAAATTATGGAAAAAGACATTCTAAACTATTCAACAACTGTCATGTTTCGTGGGACACCCTGTACATATTTCCAGGATTATTTTCCAGAAACTTTCCTGTGACTTTCTTACGTAGATTCTGTCAGCCCCTCTCCCTGTGTACGCCCGTGAGCCGTACACAAGCATATTTCTATATTTTTACTGAAGAACTTTCCGAAATTCTGAAGAAATGAACATTTTTGATAATTCAAAATCTTGCAACCTCATAATGATAAAAATCTCGCAACCTCTTAATGATAAAACCTCGCAACCTCTTAACAATTAAAAATCTCGCAACCTCTTTTTGATTAAAACCTCGCAACCTCTTGCTATATTAAAAACCACGAAACCTCTTACAGCTTGGATTAAAGCCGGTAAAACCGGTATAGATGTCTCTGCTATCGCTTCAAAATAATGTGCAGCTGTTTTCGTTTCGGCAACATTGCTTTCTCATAGCATCTTACTGAACTTGTGATTCTATCAGTTTATGTACGTTAACTGCAATTTTATGTACATCAATTGGCGTACAGAAGGATGTAAAGCAATGAACATATCCCTGAATAAGATGTGAGAATAATGTTTTATTTTAAAGTTGAAAAACAAGTTAAAATAAAGTGACGATTGTGAATGTTTCAGTGAAAAACGATTTGTTACTTTTATAAAGTACAAATAATTATAAAGTTTACCAATAAAAAAGTTTGTTAAATCAGTATTGTACCAGAGTGTACAAATGCTGATTTAGATTTTGTTGTGAAATTAAAATATAAATCATGAAAATAGTTATAAAATTCAATAGAAAAGTGATCTGAAATTTGTTTCATGAAAAAAGGGCGCAATGTCGCACCCTGATAGAGATAAACCCCATCCCGGTCACCCTCACCTTCACCCTGGAGCCCGAGCATACCCAGGTCCATATCAACATCAGCATGGTCCTGGAGTCGCTAGTCCTCCTCATGGGGCCATTGGTGGTCAATCTCACGGACTCCATGGTCCCCTGGCACATCGTGGTGGTCCAGGAGGTGGAAAAGAAGAAGGAAAGTTTCTGCTATCAGGTAAGACACTTAATTAGGACAGGTTAGGGGACTTAGCGCCGCGGCTAGAACAGACAAGGGCGCGCGCTGCGGCCACATGTCCAACTTTGAACAATCCAGAGATGATTTCAAGGATGTACAGGAAGTGGAAGTTTTAAGCTACCTAAAATTCCAGAAGAAATTCTGCGGAGAAGCATTATTCGGAATGTCTTCATTTAAAACTTAAATATATGAGCTGGCTGCACTGTGTTCAAAATTGTATTTTTTTT